CTCCGCCCGCGGCTTTGGCCCTGGGCTGCCCCCGACGGCCGGAGCTCCGCTGCGAGGGAAAGCCGCGCTGGGGCAGCAGCGCCGGGCTGGCCCCGCGCGTCCGGGGCGAGCGCAGGCGCTGGGATCTTGCCGGGACCCCCCGGACGCTTTGTTTAGACGTAGTTCCCTGCCTCCATCCTGGAGCCGCGCGCACCCGCCTGGCAGCGTCTCCGCTGCGGCCCCGGGTACTAGGGGCAGGAGCAGAAGGGCACTGGTGCACCCCTTGGCGTCCTGCTCCCCCCGCGGTTTAAAGCCAAGGGCCTGGCAGCGCGGGGGCACTTCGAGTCAGGAGGTGGGAGGGAGTAGCTTGACTTCAGGGCTCCTTATCATCTACCTGGACCCTTCTAAACCTCATTGCACAGGCACAAAGGCCCCTTCCTTGGTCTTCCACCCACGGACCTAGTTTTGCTTCTGCCTCTCTGTCAGCTGCTTCTGGGAATGCAACTCTTATTTCACAGCCTGTTTTGAACTCCTTCCAATGAAGTGATATTTGTTTTTTGCTTCCCTCTTAAAGTGAATAATGTGGCCCTAGGCCCCTGGTGTATTAATAACCCACTTAGTTTCTTTATAACTCTAAAAGAATAGGTGTTGTTTTCGTAGGTGATGGGGCACCTCGCTGGCTGCACCCACCTTTTCAAAACTCTAGGTCCGCCTGTGTTACCAGCTGACAGTAGCGTGAAGGCAGCAGAAGGAAATTCAGCAAGAGTCTCTAGAAGATAGAAACAGCTCATCCTCGGGAGTTCTCAGGACTCTTACAAACAGAAAACCTTTGGGGAATTCTGTTTTAAAAGCTTTCTGGAAGCTCGTGTCATAACCCAATATAGAAAAGCTTGTGAGTTAAAGTGAATCCCAGCATTTAGAGTATGATTCCACCTAGTCTGGAGGCCTACTCATGAATGATACTCAGTGCTTCAGAAGAAGAAAAAAGGAAATGCTTTACTCTGGCCAGCACCAAAAGGAAAGCTTTATAGTTCTAAAAGGCAGCAATATGAAAAATAACCTACTGCTGCACGGGTTTAAAAGACACAATGGTGAAATGGCTGGTAGCTGGACTATACTAGTGCTCTTATCATTGCTAGCACTGCTAGAGCAGAACTGGAGCTATTTCATGTTCCATAAGTCTGAAGAGAAATGCTAGACCAGTAAGGCAACCTTTCTGGCAGGTGTGCCACAAATTAACCCTGCACCCTCCCTGAGTGCTACTTTGATCACCTTCCCCTTCCTGACCTGCTGTTTTGCTTTCTGCTTCCTTCCCTGTACTCCCTGCCCCTCTGATTTCTGCTTCCTGCGCTATCTGCTGCTGTGTTGTTTGTTCCCTCCCTGATATCTTGCGTGCCACACAGATTGTCCATACCTGTGCTAGAGTAACCATAGCCAAGGCATCTGAATCGGGAATTTCTGCTATGATTCAGGAAATGTGCATTGGTAGCCAGGCATTCCTTCCTTCTAGCGAGAGCGGTAGAGTTGTGAAAAATTGGGTAGCCAGTTGAGCCTGGATAGGCAGCCAGGACCTTTTCAAATCTAAATCCTGATTGTACCACTTCCTGCTACAAAACATCAAAAGCTGTGGATGTCCAACTTAAGACATCTACAAATTGAAACAGCCAAAATTAGCAGCAGTTTGGGCTTTTTGTTTTTTGTTGGTAAATTTGTTATAATACCTCTGTCACAGGAATGCCATTTTCCATTTTTACATTATTTAGTTTAGTATATTAAATGCTTCGTGACATAATCTTTTTGTGCAAAGATGCCTTACACATGTTTGTATCATACGGAAGTTTGCCCCATGCATTAATAACTTTAAGTTAAATTTAGACAACTAATCTAAATCTTACTAAAACTGTAGTAAAATGCCTATGTTGATTTATTTTTTAAGTTGCTGTTTTAAAGATCTATTCTGCATTCCTCACTTCAGTGGATTTTAAGTGAGTAATTCTCTTTTAGTACTGTTAAATTAAATGTCTATTGATGAATATCAAAGAGCAGATGAACAGCCTTGAATATTCTGTTTGGAGCATATATTAACCTGCACACTATTTATACACATCAGTGTTGCTACTAAGGGAACAAAGCAAACCCATGTTTCATTGTCATTATATGACTTTGTTACATGTATCTTGACTGTTTTTGTGTTATTTAGGGGAAAAAAAACATGTTCACCAGATTTTGTTGGCTTTTATGGATATTAGAATACCACATATTTTTGGCACAAAACCTCAATGAAGAAAAAAGAAATGGATTAAGAAGATCAAAACCTAAACATTTTCTGTCAAATGCAGTAGAAAAATATCCCAGTCCAAGTGACCAAGGTAAATATTTACATTTTAGCACAGCTTTTTGTTAATATTTATTCAGATTCTAGCCCATATGGTTAGCTTGCACGGTAAGTTATAACCTGTGGAACTTGATCCATTTACATTTTAATTTGCTGTAATTTTTAACCGTAAATATATAGCACATTCCTGTGCATGTGTGTGTGCGTGCACACACGTGTGTGCATGCCCATGTGCATACATGTGGTTTGGAGATTCTGGGCCTAGGTGGAACCATTCTTCTATTACCTCCTCAGTGGATGTGTCTACACAAGACACTGACTCTGCAGTCATTACTGCACAGTCATTTAGTACTTGTATGAACAAGTGTCGCATGGCAGAAAGCATGATGCGACACTACTGCCCAGTAGTTCCAGGCTAGTGTATAGTCAGTGTCATGAAAAATTTGGTGATGCTACTGTGCAGTAACTCTGGTTACTGTGTAGTCATTTAATACTTGCTACACAAGATGCTGACTGCATAGTCATTTAGTACTTGTATAAACAAGTGCTAAATGACTGCAGAGTAATGACTCAGCAGTCAGCATCTTGCGTAGATGTATAAGCAAGTACTAAATGACTATGCAGTAACCAGAGTAAGCTGCACAGCATCACCAAATCGATTTTTCATGATGCTGACTGTGCAGTAGCTTGAGACTACTGCGCAGTAGTGTCGCATCATGCTAATTGCCACACAGCACTACTGCATAGTAGTTACAGGCTATTGCGTAGTCAGCTTTTCATGTAGATATGGCCAGTATGTTTGGCCACCTTCCACAGTGTTATCAGGAAAAGAATAGTACCATATATACATTTATTCAAAAGGAATTTCCTTAGGGTTTTAGTACTCACCAGTTTACACTGTTAGGCACTGCTCCTACAAAAAATTATGAAAGTGCTTAAGATTTTACACACTGATATTGTGCCATTTAATTCAATGGGAATAGGAAAATTAAATGATCAATGATCCACCTAGTCAATGAGGAAGGACTATGATTAGCAATAAGGTATTCATCATTTGTATTATGATAGCATCTACAGCCCACAACAGAGACAGGGGCCACATTATGCTAGACTTTGTACACACACACACACACACACACACACACACACACACACACA